AGAAGATATAGTTAAGGTGGTCCTTCTATCATGGTTAAGGTAGAAAGATATTAGTAATTAATGGTGTCATTTTTCTACAAAATTAAATATGGATTTGGGCTCTAGCAACTGTTTTGTCTTTTTTCTGATAGGATTTTTTTTAACTTAATTTTTTTTATTGAAAAGGCCTCACTTATGGCAGAGGAAAACCGTAATTACATATAATGATTTCCAAAGTATAAGAAAGTCAACGTCTAAGGTAAGGTATTTCCAAACGATCCGTAAGCAAAATTCCATTGAGAAGAGTTGGAGTCTCATTGCCACAAAACATATTACTAGAAGTACCATCACTCCCATTTTTTGCCAGAAAATGAGCCGCCATATTGGCCTATCGATACACATGTTGAACTCGGGCATTAAGGAAACCAACCAGTTGAATAATTTCTTCCCAATATTCCTAAAGCCACCATAAAGAACAAGAGCCATGCCTTACCCATTGTGTCGCACCATTGAATTCGTTTCCACAATAATATTATCGATTCCTAGATCCGTACACATACATAAACCATCAAGAAAAGCACGAGTTTCAGCAACCATATTTGTGGAAGTCCCGTAATGACGAGAGAAACTAGCCCAAAATTTTCCTGTACAGTCCCGTAGGACTCCTGCTCCACTGGCTAACCCCGAATTGCCTTTGGATGCTCTGTCAACATTTAATTTAAACTGTTGTCCTGGAGGCTTCTTCCAACTTATCCACTGCAATTTTGGCTACTTAACATCGATAAAAGGACAGTTAAGTAATCGTAAGATCTAGACGTCCCTAGCAGAAATTTTCCTAGTATTGGTAAACATGCAACTCATCTGGGATAGATATGATTTAACAGTCCATATTATCTTCTGCCAACTGAGAGTGTAGCCTTCCATAAGTTCAGTAACCCTTTCCAAGATGACACTGGAGGTAAGGATAGATTCAAATGGATAGCAAAATATGACCACACATGTTTGGCCACCTCCCCATTACATAAAACATGATCCAAAGATTCAATCGCAGGATTCGCACAACAGTTACATTTGGACACTAAAGGGATTCCAAAAGCTTGAACTACATCATCAACCGGTAGACAATTTAATTTAGTCCTTCATGACACAAATGATATTCTTTTAGGGATTTTATTATACCACAACCACTGATTCCAATTATAGATCACACCCTTTTGTCGAACCAATTCCCATGCAGACTTGGTCGAAAAAATACCATCCTTGCTGGGCATCCAAACATGCTTTGGCACTGACTAAAGATGGGAAGTTGTTTGGATGGGGTTATTATACAGATGGTAGATTAGGGAAGATTGGGGAATTTTTTTAAAACTTCTCCTCTAGATTCAGTTGCTTCTAAAATAGAGTCGAATGGTGAAAATTCTGGTTCAATGACTGAAGCTGTTGAGAAATTGGTCTTGGAAGCAATTGAGAAGGAAAAGAACATGCCCATCGCTTGGGAACCTACTTTAATTAAAGAATTAGGTGATGTTAAATTTGTAGATATGGCATGTGGGCTCAATCATTCCTTAGTTCTCGACTGTAAGTCATAACTTATAAGTATTCACATGCTTGTGATGCTATAATATAAGTTAATTCAACCTTCATTTTTCTATTTACAGCTGATGGAACTCTTTTAAGTGGAGGGAGCAATGTGTATGGCCAGTTAGGTAGGGTTAAGCAAGATTTTGGGTTGCTTCCTGTCGATATGAGCTTTATACCTTTCAACATAGCATCAGGACTAGGGCATTCTCTTGCAATTTGCAAGGATACATCTTCAGATAGTGTAGACGGATTAACTGTTGTTATATGGGGATGGAACCAGAGTTATCAACTTGGGAGGAAAGATCCTGAGAGTCTTCCTCTGGTGGTTGAGGGGTTATCGGGTGAGACACCTGTTTCATTATCAGGAGGATGGGTGCATTCTTTAGCTATCATAGCTAAAAACGAGATCTGGACTTGGGGCTGCGGGAGAAATTGCAGGCTTGGATTGGGTAGCTCTGCTGATGAAGTTGAACCGATGTTGGTGGAATGCTTGGAAGGATCTCAAGGTTTGCTCACTGTTACGGGATTTGATCATAATCTTGTTCTGATGCTGAATGATGTAACCTTAAATCCTCTACATTTCCTTAATATAAAGTAAAGGTTAAATATGTGTACTTTTAGAAACTAATTTGGGAACTGCTCCGCGTAATTTTCATATTTTACTTGACTTGAGAACCCTTTAATTCTACATTTCTATTTGCACCAATTTGTACCTCTAATAATGAGATAGATCTCGAAAATGATATTTTATCCTCGACAAAGTTAAGTGTGTACATGGGTTCCTATCATGCTGAATTTTCCTCGATTCCTGATATCGAGTGGGTCAACTTAGCTTGAACGACGGGCCAGGGACAGGCCAAAAAAGAGTCAGAACACCCTGACTTTGGTAGACTGTCACTGTTCCATCTTAGACTTTTGAAAATTTATACGAGTTGAAAGAAATGTCTGTTAGTAATGCAGACTATGATTGAATTCAGAATACTTCTAGTATTTGATTGATGAATGTATGTCTAAAAAGAAGCCCAATCCTAGACATCCTCATGTCCTTTTGAGAGATGCTAATGTTACAGTCTTGGTTCACAGTTTTTTTCACAGTCTCCTCAGGAATTTCAATCAAGAATTTATTAATAGGAGTAAGAAAGTTGTGGAAAAACCCATCATTAGCATTTAAGTTTGTATGATCTAACTAGCTATTCAACGAGCTAAATTATATTTTACAATGAAGAGAACAAGAAGTTTGTACCCTTTTCTTTCCCATAATTTACATGTGCTCCCCAATTAACACTGCCATGTTTTCCACTAGCTATTCAGAGTCGGTAGAATCTAAGACAAAGCCCCTACCTTTCGAGACAAATCTTGTCCGATTTTACTTCCAGGAAATATGCTATACGAGACGCTTCGTTAAGAAGAATACAAAAAAATCAAGATGGCTTGCATCAAAAGTATCCACAGTACTGAAAGAGTCTATGGTGCTCCGCTTGTAAAGAGGGACCAATCACTTGATGTAGCATCTGAGAACTCCTTCACGTGAGTTTCTACAACTCGAATTCCTCCATTTCTATTTTCTTGCCCAAAATTGTAACTTCACTTTGTTCTTGCACTGAAGACTTCTGAGATTTTGATTGCCAGTGGCTTCGAATCATGAGTTTGATATCGGGTGGTTTTCCTTGTGCAAGCTTTAGTAGGTCGGGGGATGACCTGAACGAACATGTTACAAAATTTAAACGAATTAGGTTTGAATTGTAAATGTGTTATCATAATGTTTATCACCAAGGTAATCAATAGAGCATGTAATTAGAAGATGCAAAAATATAGAAAGCCAAGGGTCTTAAAAACAAAATAAAGATCTGAGCAAAATAAAAAAACATCAATGATCTCAAATCTACATATCATAATTTTTTATACAAAGTCAACAAAACAAGCAAAAGAAATTTAACTCGTGTAGAAAAGATCCTTCTGACATCACCTGCGTCATTTCGACTAGTTGGACCGGCATTATTAAAACACAACTAGACATTTTATGGCAATATGAACTCAAAGAGGAAGAAAAAACATCAATTTTCATTCAAAAAATGGCGCAAGACATGGCTGGAACCTATATAGCCATCATTCTATTACATCACAAAAGTTTTTATCCAACAACTATTCTTACCTACTACCACTTTGCTTATA